AAGGAAAAGATGAAGGGCGGAGGATGCTTGTTTTTTGTCTTGAAAACAATGAATTAAAGTGAAGAAAAAAACAATCATCAAAACTGCCAAGCAGTGAAATCATAGTAGAAGGACTTTTGGAAAATTCAATTAAACGCCCACATATGGGACAGCAGCTTGAAATAACAGTCAACATTCGCTATTCCAGCAAAAGTCTAAATTAACAAATAGTCCCCTCTCTTTTGTTGATAGCTCCTCCGATTAAGGCTTTTAGGAACTCAAAAAAAGCCTGGAATGCCTCGAAAAAATCCAGTCAACAGATATTTTCCAGTTTCTTTTTTTAATTCAGTGAAGTGAGCCAGGTGCGCAAAGAATGAAACATGCATATAAGCGGCTGTCAGTGAAGCTCCCTGCGTTCCAGACCTTCGTCTTTCGCATTTCTGTTTCCAAAATACTTCAATTTGTACTACTGCAGCCCAAATATCTTCTCAGGCGGTACTGCAGTGCTAAACGTTAAGGCTTATGTGGAGTCTATGAGGCTTTCACCAGTAATAGTCAAGCTGGCGCAGCTGTTATGCGGGAGTCTGGAAAAATTCTGGTAAATCTACAACTAAGTGGCACGCTGTAGCTTCTAAAACCCTTATCGGCTGACTGCGTGAAACACGCAATAATTCAACTGCTTCGAAGTTCACGAAACTAGTTTTATATCGAACCTGAGGCTGTTATTTAATGCACAGGCCAGGCCGATAAGGATTTTTTGGGCTGAATTGTGCGGTTAGATGATTTTAGTTCGAAAGTTATAACTCAAGACGCAAAGGAGATCAAATGTTTATCTGGGGCTTTTGCCATCATGGAATTCTAATCAGAGAAATTCTGAGAGCAAAATTTTCCCGGACCTAAAATTAATCGTATAAAGTCTCGGAGCTCGAAACAGTTGATTCCAGGCGTGGAAAAATTTTCCTTTTACCAAATTTTTCCCGTTTCTAACTTTTTTTAGTTTCAAAGTTGAAACATGTTATTACACACATATATACATACACGCATGTACATCCATATTCATCTGCATATACACACATGCACTCGCATACACACGAAACACACACTCGCGTTCTAATATGTTTTTGCATGACTGCTGCAGCATAAACCCAGGCTGGAACGCACCAGGCGAGCCGGTGCAATCATGCGTTTTTGCGCCAAACTTGAAGTGATTAGGTTAATTGCATGAACGGTTGTTTCTTCACAACTACCTTCTGCGCTCAATATCGTAAATCATCGTAAATTTTGCATAAAAGGAAACAATTTTTTGAAAATGACCCAGATATTCAATTTGTAGTTTTCCCCGCAAAAATTTAAATGTCTGTATACAAAAATCACGCGTAAGTGAAGGCTGAGTTTGAAACCTTTAAACTGTATTTGGACAGGGAGTGTTCTCCTAAAACGTTAGCCTTCCAGCCTTTCTGGTTCCCGAGTTAGCCATTTTCCCGCCAAAAACTTTCGCGGGTCCGCAAGTGAGAAACATGCACGCCTCGGGGCTAAATTTAATGCTTTCAGCTCTCACGGAGACTGCGAACATCCCCTTAAAATTTTAGTCTCCCAGCTTCCTTGGATCCAGAAGTTAAAAATTTTCTCGCCAAAAATTTCAGTGGGATCACGTGACCAAAAGTTTTCGTGAACCACATACATGAGAACCATACATGCCCGGGGGCTGAGTTTGATAACTTTAAGCTGCACATAGGCTGTGAACATCTCCTTAAAATACGAGACTCCCAGCTTTCGCTTTTCCCGAGCTAACCGTTTTCCTGTCAAAAAATTACACGGGGCCGTACGTGAGAACCACGCATGCCTGGGGCCTAAATTCGATAACTTTAGGTTGTGTATGTGCTGTGATCATTCTTTGAAAATTTCAACCTCCCAGCACTGCTAGTTCCCGAGTTAGCCATTCTCCCGCCAAAAAATCTCACGAGACCGTACGCGAGAGCCACGTACGACTGGCGCTAAATTTGATAAGTTTATGTTGTACTTATTTGAGAACATTCCTTGAAAATTTCAGATTTCCGGCTTTCCTGGTTCCAAAGTTAGCGATTTTCGCGTCAGGAATCCTCATGGGGCTGTACGCGGCATCCAAGCACACCCGGGGGCGGGGGGGGGGGGGGGGACTGAATTTGAAATCTTTGAGTTCTATGTGGACGGGGAACGTAATTTAAGAACTTCAGCTTTTTAGTTTTTCCCGTTCCCGAGTTAGCAGTTTTGCCGCCAAAACTTTCACCCTTTCGTACGCGTAGCCCAGACTTGGGTAAGGGTTGGTACAGCGGTTTTGGGATAGCACATTGCCGAGGGACCCACTAGTAAAATTTTGGCGTCGAAGCTTGCTTCGTTCCTGGTTGCTGAGTTGAAATACCCGGCTAGACGAACACACTCACACATAGACGGGTAGTCGCAATTTGCATATAAGCAAAAACGCATGAAAAGGTAGAAAACAGTGAATTAAAAGAGCGAAGACTAATTTAAGCAAAATATGGTAGAAGGTAGCAAATAATTTGGTCTCTGAACCCACACCATTTTGCATAAAGGAAGCAAGCGCGACTTCCCTTTGGTTGAAGCTTGAACACGCGTACTGCATGTGACGAACATGCTTGCGTTAAGATTTTCGCATTTTTCAATATGTCAAAAACAGTACTGAAAAAGGAATTGTCGTGCAGTGGTTAATTCCGTATCCATGCTTAGATTTTAAGTTTCCATCATTTTCAGTTTTGCCATCATGCACCGCAGAATGATTCCAGTATTGTTCTTTGTGCTCGCTGTACTTGTAGCCGCTCAAGAACCAGAAAAAGAGAATGAAAGGCCGCCAGAGGGATATCCAGAGGGATATCCTGGATATCCCGAAGGGTATCCAGGAGTAGGTCAGCCGGAGAAGGAGGATAAGGAGAAGGAAGAAAAGGAGAAGAAGGAGAAGGAAGAAAAGGAGAAGAAGGAAAAGGAAGAGAAGGAGAAGGCGGAGAAGGAGAAGAAAGAGAAGGAAGAGAAGGAGAAGGCGGAGAAG